ATAATTATTTAATAAAAACTACCCTACATTTAAGTAATACAAAGACAAAATACCCTTTCTGTAATATTTGACGTTCAATTGCATACATGCAAATTTGGAAACATTTTTAACCTTTTCCGTCCTGGAGTTATTATTCAGGTCGCCAACATGGTGATTGATATTCTGCCCCTTTCTTCTCATTCAACCTTTTGTTGATCCTTATTTTTTTTTTTTTTGTTACGTACATGTATCATTACGCTGATCATCATAATTGCAAAGAGAGAAAAGTGTTACCTTCCGCTCACAAAAAGCATTTATCAACATGCGTAGTTTACCTTGTAGCGATCCCGCACGATGCTTTATTAAGCTTTCTAGCGGGGCGACTTTTAGGCACGGAGGCAATGAAGGTAAATGTCGAACAATTATACGCTATTACACACCATTACGCGTGTTAACGTTAAGTGTATTGATATCTACGTAGGTAAATTGCTGGTGTAAATATATGTACGGATTATCCAGCGTACCCTGCCGTTCTGCTGTCATCATCGCTCGAGATAATAATGGGACGGAACAATCTTATTTCCTCTTCTACTCTTCAACAATCAAGGGAAACCTCATTTTCGCTCGACTGACGTCCTTCGTGACATCGACATACACTGGCTTTGTTACTGGCCATCTTGGAAAGTTTCATACGAGTAGCCAGCTAGTCTATGCCTAGCTAATCCTATCGTTACAAGTGTCAATTGCCATCTAGGAAGTTAGAATACGCGAAAATATTCGTACACAAAAAATCCTTCGGGGCTCCAGGCTCGGCCCCGTAATCATCAGTAAACGATACAAAATAGGTTCTGGAACTCTTTCTCTCTGCTCCCTTAAGGCCGCGTGTTACTAACCAGCTGTTGGCTGTTGATAAGATGAAAAAAAAGAGGAAAGCAGCCAGATTCGGTTCATCACGGAATTAGGCCCAATCATCTAAAAAGGACGCTTTTATGTAGTTGTATACGTGCAAAGAAGCTAACTTTTCACCGTTCTGCTAGAAGAGTAATAAGTGAGACAGTGTTTTCGTTCAAGGAACTTGCACGATTAAATTAAGCAATTTTAATCAAGTTTTTTTTTGTCTCTGGGGAATGGGGGGAAGCAGCCTGCCTATCTAACCGCAAGAGATTTTGGCACCTTCGTTAAATCAACGCATACTTCGAATGCTAGATCATCATCAATCAGTCAGTCAAGATCTTTACAACATCTTGCAGAACTTGCTTGCACCATTGCTACTCGTCTATGCTGCCCAACCGACTATGCAGTTTCCCCGTCACTTTACTCAATGCCATCCATGTACCTGTGTAAACTGTTCGGACAAGCAATCGGAACTATTCCATTGTCAATGTTACCGGATATACGGCATGAATCTAGGGCTACCTAAGTATCATAAGTTGTTCCACATGCGATTATCAAAGTATTCGACCCAGGAGCTCCTTAGAGGTTTTAAGCCAGCGCGAATCATCTAAACGCATACGGCGCTTTCTGGCTGACGCGTAGAAGAGCGTTAATAGGTAGTATATGAATATATTTTTCCTTAATGCATATATAATCTGGGATTGCGCCACTTAACAGCCAGCCGACCTTGATTTTTTTGGTGACCGATTTTCTCAATGTAACAATTTGCTTTCGAGTGTGCTTCGTCCTTGCTGCTAATGTTACGAATGATGACAGGGGACGTAAACATAAAATAGTGAGGGTAAATAATAGTATGACGAGATTTGTTGCAAATTCTTGAATAATACTTGAACTTTTCACAGGATTTCAGCAACGACAGGCTACCTTAAAATTGGTCTTTTGGCTATCTTTAGTAGACACTTCTCAAATACCCTTACCGGACATGAACACATAGAAAGCGTGGAGCTTAGCACATGGTGAATAGTCACTTGCCCCGTTCACAAAAAGCTTAATGCAAGCACGGGCCCGCTTCCTCCTGCGGGATTATATTTTGCACGGCGCATGTGTTGAGCCTGTAGTTATTAACTCTAGACCTAATTTCTTGTAGCACGTATCATGTCCTTCAGACACAGCTTCCTTTTTTACTGTGGGAGCACTAGGATTCGCCAACATCAGAACCCATGTACATTTCGAATAGTTGGATAGCATTAATGCATTTGTACGTTCTTTCAGAAAGACAGTAACGAAGCCCATTTAGTAACAGGTAACAACTAGCTGAGGAAGTCGAATTAATGGTCTGCTATTGATGTTGTTGATAAGTCATTGTAGAATATACATAATAAAAGGGCTCAGAGAACATGTATGGCTTGATCTGAGCTTACAGAGAGAAAACTAAGATAAGGTTCTTCTAAACTAAATTATCAAATATCTCTGCCCTAAAATCATACAATGGCCTTGCCTAGTTGCTGGGCCATTTCTTCGTGGCTCGATAGAGTAGTTTTTATGAAGCGCAAAATCTGGCAGCTCTAAGTTTCAGTTGGTATGAACTTAATCATGCTATGTTTCAACCCGTGCATGTATTCGCTACGGATCAAAACTTTGTTAATCTGTACAGAAACATGCTATTTGTTTTACAAGATTAATTTACTAATTTACCTTATTGTCATCTTCTATGTGTTGAAGTATCTAGAAATTGTTGCAGTATTTAAGTTAGTCGTGGGAATTTTCATCTCAACAGAAGATTCTTTTTCAGATACGAATGTGATTTATAGCATATATGTTCAGCACTATACTATTTATGTATCTCTTGCCTTATGCTAAGTCCTACGTCGACAAAACGAAGGAGATTCTAATTCCGCATTTATACACCCTTATAGAAAATTAGTCGCGCTGGTATGAGCTTCTTTTCGCACGGGCAACCATCATTGCCGAAGAACTCATTTCTTCTTCATTTATTTCTTCACGCTCGTACTATGCGCGCGTAGCAGGGTATACAGTATCAATTATAGCTTCGTAGTTGTCAATTAGACATTTCTAAAGTCACATCAATTTCCGCGATCATCACCGACAGTCCCCATATCACTATCGATGGCCATATCATTCACAAGAAGAAAATACTCATAACAATTCTTTTACGCCTTTTTTATGTTGACTTTTCTTTGGGCAAGCTCGACAAAAATTGAGATCTTCCAGAATGAGGATCAATTTTAGTTCTTCTGTGCATTTCTATGTGTATTCGCATTACCGTTTCAAAAACAAAATAGGAGATTTGATACAATTATCAGAGTCCAATACGCTGAGATCATACCATACTTTTGGCGTTTCTTCTTGATCATCATTCAGTTGTTGACGTAAACGGTTTAACCCAGATTTGGCGGGAAGATGTAGGATACAATTAGGCCTTCTTTACGTGGTGGACGTTACTCCTCGACCGCCTTCTGTATGCCAGTTACACATTATTACATATTAGGAAGCAAAGACTAAGCACGTTTCTTGAATTCAATTGTGTTCTTGCTAAATGTAGGATCTGATCATTCCATCATTATGATCGAATATTCGAACTAGCATCTTGCTGGGTTACCAAGACCTCCAGTCCTGCCGTGTCTGTTCCTGACGATATACCTGCCGACCGCATTACTTGACCCGATGGTCGATGCGCTCGTCAGAGAGAGCCGGCCAAGTCGGACGAATGTAAATGCCAAGCTTATGTAAATAAATCCAACACTGAGGACCGTTTACTGAAGGAAAGTACAAGTGGAAAGCAATGTTTTAACCCGCGTAACCGATGCGAACTATAGGCACCGATTTGTTCCTATGGATAGACACGTTTGCAGTCCACATTTATATTGGTACAGGTAATTTTAGTACAGCCGTAGTTGACACTTATCGGTCAATGAAGAAAAGGGATGAAACAGCTACTGTTACTTCTATATGTTCAAGTGACTGGATGGACTTTCGATACATTCATGCTTTGCCTGCCTGACATGGGTTCTCCGATTTTTTTCTTACATACGACCCTGCGCTTATATAAAGCTTATATAAAGTTCCTCGTGGCACGAGCGAACCGAAAACTCTAGCGTGCTACTGTTTTTGTCACATTTCCATATATAGAAATTTAATTCAACTACGGAAGTGAGAGGCTACTGATGTACCGCACGACGAACCACTGATTCTACTCTGTCATCAGGTTGACATACAACTGATACCAATATGTCGTTACCGAACAATCGAGCAGTCAAAAAAGCATACTGCTAGTTAAACTCAGAACTGTGATGATTGGAGAAGATGAAAAATTTTTACAAAGGAACATAATAGTGGTAATAATAATAAGTAGATATCATAACAGCTGGTTACAGAGAAGTGTTGCTGACAGGACGTTTACTTTTGTTGGGTTAAAGATACGTTGGCATCATCCGGAAGGCTTGCTTAGTGAACCTCGGCTATTCGTCCTTTTTTCTGCATGAACAACAAATAAAATTGCGGTGTGTGCCACAGAGCCATCAGGAAACAGTAATATAAAACACACGAGAGTGACAGGGAACGTAGGACGTCAGCATGATATCTATTCCACACAGAATCGAACCGCAATCGGAATCGTCCACGAAGGTCTTCTGGTAAAAAAAAAAAGATCTTGCACAAAGACATAATAGAGACGCTCCTCGTTTTTAGCTTTTGTTAGACAGCCATATCTATATATGCACGAATGTATACAAAGTCACAACCAACGCAGATTGTCATCGTAGTTATCGTGACAAATTGAACGAAACACGCTTATATTTGTACATAATTTATATAATTGAACGAAAATAAGAAATACATTTACATTTTGATTGTTGCATGTACAATTTATTGAAGTCACACTTGCGAAGACATACATGACTTAGAAGGTCCATAGGAAGTAAAACAAATCGGTTTCTCAACTTGTGTTAAGCATACGATTAAGAAAACAATTAGCTTAATTCTCGTAAGCCCCGTTCAAAATCTGTCTGCCAATTCACAATCCAACATGCTATAAGTTTCTACATGTCATCATTTGAATTCAGTTTTTCAGTGTCATGAAGTAGAATGCAATCATGCTAGGTACTTACAAAGACTGACGTGACAAAGAAAAATTGCCTACAGTTTCCTAACGCGTTAGAGACTCAGGTGCCGTCCGCAATTACTTCTTCTTCTTCAATATCAGAGTCACAGTCGTCGCTTCCCTGGTAAGGAAGTTTTTAGAGTGATCATTTTCGCTTCTTTCATCATAACCTCCACAATTTTCTCTTTGGTTGGCCTCATTTCCGTCACCACAGATTCATCAGTTAGCGTCACTAATGCACCCGTTGCTGCTTCCAGCATAGACGATGCTTCCAGCAGTCTATCCTTTCTGTTCCTTGCTACCCTTAGCTGTTCAATACGGCGACACAGAAGCGTGGCGAAAACGACGGCGAGCGGTAACGCCGTCACCTCTCGGCAGCCGGACACGAGTCACTTCGTGTCTTCGCTCAACTCATCGTCTGACTGTTCCGCAGCGTCGTTCTCTGTTCAGATAGTAGCGGGTCGTCCTTTCACATGGTGTTCGAAAATTCTCGCAGCGCCTAGGCGACGAGCTCCCGACACAAATACTGCCGCACTTACCGAACAACGAATGAAATACGAAAAACAGGGAGATCTCTCCGTTTGTATACGCATGTATTATAATACGAAAAGGTGCCGTCCTCAAAACCTGTTTCGGTAGCGTTAACTCCACAAAAAATAGAAGCACTTCCCTTGGTAACTTGTTGATGTTACAGCCGTCAAAAAATAGTAGGACTCTGACTAGTACAGCCTTCGTATTTTAGCGGATGTTTGTCAATCACTACAATAGACGCACTGTATCTTCTGCATTATTCTTGCCTCCGTTTTTTTGGTAGTTGTTCGAGAAACTGGCTGAGGGCATGGCTAAGCATCACCGACGCATGGTAAGTGCATGCAAGCTTACTTGCATGTACCAGCTGGCAGGTACCACGTTTTTAACACCAGCAGCAAAAGTAGCAATGTTGTCGTTGGTCTTACTGCAAAGTTGCTTTGGAACCTGCCCAATTTATATATATTTGGAAATGTGAGTGCTTCGTACCACCTCGCCGCGTTCACGGCACGCCGAAAAGGTCCCGCCGAAAGGGCTCTGGCACTTTTGGTGGAGACCGCGTTTGAGATACAGAGCTAGTTCGATTACCCAGCGCCTCCACGTGGAGTGGGCCCCCGGGAAAGGGAAATCGGCGGGTAAAGAGGCACTTGGGGAAGGGCGAAGCAAAAAGGCTTGTAGTAGCCCGAAGACAGACGCACGGTGGCCACGACGCCTGCTGCTCACCCTGTAGTGGGTGTCTTCGCATCTGGACCACCTCGGACTGAAGGGAGGAGGACAGTGCGGCTAGAAGGGATTTGGGTGAGAGGGTTAGCGGAGGTTGGGACGGGGACCTGCATCGGCTGAGAGGATTAGTGAGCCATGGCTGGGGTGGTCGAGAAGCAGAGGCGACCACGCAATGATCGGAAAAAGCACCCGCTGCCGACAGCCTTCGGGGAGGATTCAGGGTTGGGCTCAAGAAACAAGGACCTGTGAAGGGGGAAGATAGGTATTTTTAGCAGCTGCAGATGCCTTTCTCTAGCAGCAGCGCCCGTAGTAACTTAAATTGCTTATTGATGGTCCTCGATTCCTACCTCCTGCTCTTCACGTGCCTGTTTTTCAAAGTTGAGGTTAAAATTCCGCAGGCATTTTGTCGCCCCTACCGCTATTGTCGTACGCTAGACATCAACATCCACACGATCGCCCTAGAACTCCCACTACTATACGTGGCTCACTCGCTGCACTGCCCAATTGAACACCTGGTTATAATTCAAAAAGCTCCCGATGTGACGCGGTGCAACCCTACGATGCGGCTCTATATCGAATGGGTGTTCATTAGAGTCGGTCAGAGCCTAACATCCAAAGAAAATGGATATCCGCGATGAACGGAGAAGCAAGACGAAGGACACACGCTTCTTTTATTTTCTGTCCCAATCGAATCCAGCTTCGATGTGGAAGAGGTAACGAGGTAAAAGAGGAACCGAGTACCAAGGAACCGAAGGAAACAATGGCACTTCTGTGAGACTCGATCTTCTAACGATAATTAACAGACCCCTACACTCGATGTCTCATAATCGAAAGTAAAAATGTTCAGTAGCGTGCACAAAACTTGAAAAATTTGTATCACAGTATGGAGTAACAGGATTTTTTCTAACTACGACGAACTATATAAAGGCTTTGTCGAGGCTTTGAAAGCAGAACTCTGACTAGAAAATGAGTTTATACTATTTCTCAAGTCGTTTCGTTGTATCTATCAAATGTTCAAGGTATTTACTTATACGATAGATCATAGGGCATTTGTTGTCGATAAAATGTCATCTGGAGTTTCCGTTGCCTATAACGAAGGACTCACAATACACACAAGAACTACAGCAGTGGTTTTAACTAGGTTCATTATGATTCTTCTTCATGCGTCCTGAATACTGCTGCATCAATATTATGGATGTCAAGGAAAAGACTCGCCGACTTTAGGCGAAAAGTGCCAGCGTTCAGTAACCAGTCCAGGGTCCGCAAGAGCTGCTTTAAGGAGCAATAGAAGAATTTCTAAAAGGCACGAACCTCACGATATGATACCGATGCAGTGTTTAATCGAAATATCTGCCTCGTGACTTATCCACTTTCAGAGTATTTCGTAAGTGCCAATAGAATACGCTGGACATTAATGACTCTGAAAAAAAAAAAAAAAAACTACCTTTATTAATTTGTCAATATTCCCAGTATATTCCTCATCTTCGAGAGATCATAGACAGGAACAGAAAAATCCTTCGTTTGTTTCTCGTATTTGCCTGTCGTAAGCATTGTCAATATTGCGCTACAAACTTACAGAATTGTTGATTATTTAATTTTAGAAAATGAAATTAATTATCATAGAACGCGGAATCGATCCGGCAGTATCTATCTTCTGCATGATCTTATAATGGGTTTTAAAGACAGCCTGAAACAGCCCTTTTATTACCCGATTTTCGAGCCTTTCGATTTAATTCGGCTAAAAATTCTTCGAAACATCAATTGATCACAATTTTAAAAAGTCTGTACACCACGTTACTCTGTCGTGTACACTAAACGCCAAAGAAAAGTATCCTGTGTAAAGAAAATTAGCATTATAACAACAATAAAGATTAAAAGGTTGAGCTTCCTTATTTCTTTTAACATGCATTTGACCGAAGATATGCCTACATTAGAAGTAATAAAGTCGTTCAAGGACTCCTAAGCGAGTGCTCAAGACGTTTTTATTTCAATTATTGATAAGATCAACGTCAAGAGGAAAAAGAATGTATTAAAGAGAAAGACATGTGAAGACCAGCCGCAAAGAAAAAACAGGAATGGCGGCGTTTGTATTGTAAATAATAGATTCTTATGAGTGCCTGGGGCATAATTTTTTTACAGTGTTATACATTCACAGCCCTATATTGATACCTTTCTCTATGTAGGTATATATGCATGTGAGCGTTTGTGTGATGAACACTGAGTGAACAAAACGGATCCTCCGACCGAGTCCGAAAGGGAATTCAACCAAATGAAAGAACGTCATTATCCTTCCCAAATTAATCTCTTCCTTGAGGCAGTACGGACATCTCTAGCTGGTAGTGGCGGTAGGCCCTCCTAGAGCGCAGGAGGTTATAGTTTGTCGAGGACCACAGAGTTGACTAGCTGACATCGTCATACATGCCCAACCTTGATATAAATGAAAGTTTTCAAAGTTTGAAAGCACGGGAAAGTTAATGGGTGACTATGCAAAGAAGCGCGACCGATATATTCAATTCTGCCGTTTTTCGCCTAGTACTAGCGATGAGAATGGCAAACGGGCAAAGAAGAAAATTACAGAACGAAGACGGAGTTGGAGCTAATGAAGATCGGTGTGATTTATAGGAGCGAACACAGAGCTTTGCGGTGCGTTCTCTTCTCGTTTAGATTCAAGGGAGGACATACATATGTCCTATAGATTACTCTCTGCAACACTCCTCGTCGGGGTATAAGGTTGGGTGACGTGAAAATGCGTAGCCAAAAATAGACCTAGCCTCACCCCCCACCCCGCGTTCGTTATATCGAAAGAGCTCCTCACGATGGTGACGCTATCGTAACGTGCACCCTTGCTGTTCTGCAAGCATTCCCCATAGAGCCCGGTGCACTGGTGTTTTTGGCTAGAGGTTCTCACGATACAGATGAAAAGAGAAATTCATTCGAAAACTACTTGTATTTTCTGAATCATTGAAGGCTCAAAATAGGTAGTTCAGAACGATGAGGAGTTTTTTAACAACTGAAAAAATCAAGCATGAAATATCTCATCAATTTCTATTTCCTTTTGCGATGTTCTTATTTACTTTTTAACATTTTCGATTAGTATAAATGCAATTAGTTTAAGCATTGGAGAAATAATATAATATTTTATTGTAAGTGTTGTTATATCTTACTAAAGCGAGGTAAACCCGTAATCATTCTAGTGGTGCATTCTGTTGGGGGACTTATAATTGAATTTAGATCATGGAATATTTATTCAAAATACCTAATTCTAAAATTATAGATTATGAACTCAGAGCCAGACTTATTGAATTTACAGAAGATACGGATTTCAGTTTCAGCTTAAAAGGTGACAACGATATCAACGTCTGAATCTTGTTTACGGTACTGAGTCTTAAACCTAGATGTTTGCTACTGTAAAATGAAACATGTATACATATAAAGTGAATTAACTCGAGATATAGTCAAGATTAGCGATTTTATTTCATGAATTATTTTGTAAGTATATGTTTATTTAAGAGTTAGCTCGTAACTTTCATGCGAAGTGTATATACCAAGATACTTCATCGCCATTTAGCCGCGCGATCTATATAGAGTATGTACCGTGCTACCACATTTTTTTTTTTATAAAGATTGACAAAAAATAGGCTTATGGTGTAAGATATATATATTCTCATTTTTCTCTGCTTAACTATGAGGTTCTTGCCTCATTGGCTTATGTTGGGTATAAATGAGTATTGGCTGATTCAAACCTGGCATTTAAAAACTGTCCCGCTAACCCACTGTCCCACAAGTATTTTTAATTATTTAGCTGCCTTTATTCACGTGCTACATACGCGAAAGGATGATGAGACTACTGACATCTCACACGTACAGCACGAGCCATTCAGTCCTTGCTTAGTGCTATCCCCTAGGATATACCTGACAAAAACAAGAACTAGAACGTTCAATGTGAGTCTCAAGCTATTTCTAGAGTCATTGCAATCATAGTGCCTTAATTGGAGAATGCGCCTTATTGTTCCTCGTCAGACACGAGTGTAGGACAAGGCGTGGATATGAACGGCTCCACAGACATGCTCTTTTCTGCAAAGTATCCCCTCCAGGCTTAATCTGATTATTGATGAGGAACTACATATAAAATTAATTTCATATAATTAACTTGCCACGTATCACGCAGTAAAGTACTTAAAATAATATTGGTGATGAAAAAAAATCCGATAGAGAAAAGTATATGCTCATGGACACGCCTTTGACGGCAATAGGAGGCTGCGGCAGAGAGAAACAAGCTACGTGTTGTCGGAAAACAAAAATTACTTATAGTCAGCTTCGTGTTAACGGAAGCATCGAAAACCGTGACAAACATTGATCTCCTATTTCGAAATGACGCTATGTTAGAACTGTGCGATACTTTGCGACACCTTTTTTCTTATAGTCGAAACGTACTTAGACTTTTTAAAATCTGAGAGTGTTTGCTCGGATATCATCATTCGGACTTTTAGCAGCCGAGTTGTAGTGAGCCATTGAAAATCAGAAAGATTCAAGTGACTTACGATTATGGTGACGGTGCAGACAGTTAATTGTTAACCCTTTGTGTTCTGTAAAGGGCCTACAGCTACAAACATCGTAAGCCAATGGTTGAAAAAGTTTTAGAAGATATTTTGAACTCGAAATTTCGAGTTTCATGGAAGACCATGTGCGACATAAATTGGACAAACAACATAGCTTGATCTGAGCGACAATCACAAGCAAAGACGCTTGCTTCACGTTTCGACAATGATATTTTGATGAAAGATTGAACCTCTACGGTTATCCCAGGTGCTCGCGTCGGTGGCTAGTTGTGAGTGAAGCAGCATAATATCACTCGTAAGGAAATCGTATAGCTTATGGTCGACGTTTAACGGCCTAATGTAGGTACTACCGACTACAGCTAGGTAAGCTAT